CACTATTCAGCTCAATTCAGTTCAGTGTCGATTCACTTCAGTTTAAATGACAAGTGTCGATGTTGCAAAGTTCATCAGTTATGAAACAAATTCGATTCAGCTGTAAAGCAGCTCTACAGAAGACAATAGTATTATTACGCCACTCAATTTAGTTCCATGTTAATTCAATTCTCCGCTTGGTCATCAGTATGTGCAAGTCTTGTTTTGTGGGTGTTTTTATTTTGAAATTTATGTGCTGCTGTTGTAAGTGCTTTACTGTAACTTTTTATGAGTCAAATCAGTCAAAAAAAAATTGTATGTGTTAATGGACATTACAGGACAAATACAGTACTTATGATAGAGCTTAACTTATACTCAAGCTCGAAAATTTCTGTATGCACCTGTATGTTCTCGAATCCTATTTTGTAGTAACCTATGCCAGAACGTTCGAGTGGTTTGTGAGGAAAGATATGTACTTGTTTAAGATACAGTATAAAACAACAAAAAGTGTCCTGAATCTTCATCATGACTTAGATTTACATTTGCATTTATGCTCTTGGCAGATGCATCTACACCACAACAACAAATTGCTCATATATTATGTTTGTTGAAGCCCCGATTTGCCATTTTTTCAAATGCTATTCAATGAAAATCCACATGGAGCAGGCCAAGTGTTGTATACATTCCCACATGTTATCATTATTATTCATGTTAATTGTGAGGTTAAAAATGCAACAGAGCTTTATTGTTTCCTGTACAGTGAAACACTGCATTGCACTGACTGAGATTAAATGAACAGTGAACAAAAACCCCATGATATTTGTATGGCTGCTACTGACAGATCTTAATCTCCAGGATTATTCCTCATTCATCTGGATCTTGGAGCATTCGTTTATGCAAACATTACAGAGACTCAGGTAAGTATAAATCAATCCTTTATGTAAATTTTCGTTATGGAAATCAGCTGTCATATTGGCCTATGAGGTACAGTCTGAGGTCCTGTTTAGTCTCCAGCAACACCGAGGTTAAGAACAACCTTCACTGACAACTTTCTGGCACTTTGGCAGGCTTGTGAAAGGCCTATAAGAGAGTGGAACAAAATTAGATGAGGTCTATTTTGATAGGTATTATGTTAATAACCATGCTTATTAACAAAATACATTTAAACTTATCAATAAAGATGGATGATTGGGTCAGGTGTGAGTTTTGGGCCAGTTGTTGCATTGTCTGTCACAATAATTTAAGTGTGCTTATATAGCGTTAAACTGTTATTCTTTACGTTTTAGTATCTGGGATGTCAAAGCGAAGACACCCAAACAGCCTCACAGTTTCTTCTTTCTCCGAATCATCAATAAATCTCGATCACAGAACAACAGCATTGATTAAACGCCAGTCTTCATTTCCCTGTCACTGTCCAGCCATTTCTTCACGTTTGATCACAGCTGTGGTTTAGTGAGGGTTAACTAGAGCTTTTGTTAACCACTGACACAGAAATGAACACATGTAATAATCCCAACAGATCTGAGGGAAATGTATACAAATGTGCCAGTGGCAAAAACTGAGCTCATAAATATGAAATAGGCCTAACTGTCGATGAAAATTCATTTTTAGCGTTTCTGCAAATAGGAAACTTTCTACCTCCTTTAAAAAAAAAAAATTTTTAAGTTATAAATATATATAAGTTTTGCCGCATTGTGGTTATTTTGTTGTAATATATTTTGGTTATATTGGTTGTAATATTTTATTTGCATTAGCATCTTACTTTCCAAACCCATTAGCTGAAAACAATTCAACTAAGAACACTGAAAAAAAAAAGATTCATTGAATTTACTAAATTTTTTTAAGGTAAGTGGTTGCAAAACATTCATTTTAGCTACATTTTATAAAAAATGTCGAAAGTTAGTCAACTAAATTTGTTTATTTAAATGTAGCTAATATAAATTAATTGCCAAACACTTACCTTAAAAAAATTAATAAATTCAATTAAATTTTTTTTTTCAGTGAACGTTCCCATTAAGTTATGAAAATGCTTTCTGGATGTTTTAAAAACGTTTATCTTGTTATACAAAAGTTATGGAATCATTATGTTATCATTTGGGGAATATTTTTTCCAGTCACATTTTAAAAAATTGATTAACGTCCAACTAAAACGTTTGAGGGAAAGTGAACAATGTATAAATCACGTTTTTGTGCCGACTTCAGATCATTTTGAACAAACGTTCTATTAACGTTACTAAAGGAATGTTTGAGAGAACCTTGCCAGAACGTTCTGAGAATGTTCCCTGTTAGCTGGGAAGAAGCAAAACATAAAGAATGATATTGTCACATGTTTACCATAGCATGTGTTTGACTGGATCCAGTACTTTTTTCCTCCCAGGCAGTGATATGGACAAAATAATGTCACTGTTGTAGAAAGATCTTTGTTTGCGGTGTTGTTTTTAGTAATGTTTTATGCAGTAGATGGCAGCATTTGACCACACTATATAAACGAGTTCTCTGCAGCTCATGGGTGAATCAGTGCATCACTCTCACATGATTACTGATAAGACACCGTTTGTACAAAATAACACACAATGGCGATTACCATCGAATGCTTTTGTTCTGAAACAAGTTACACTTGTTGTCATCAACTCGGAGGAATTTGCCGGTATTCCTGGCATGCACGTCCACTCATATAAAAGCAGAGATGGGAAAAACTGACATCAGCTTGTGTTGAGATCATTGTGTCACTATCACTGGCATGAGCTGGATACATCTCACATGACAACATTTAGATTGTTAACACTTCATGGCAGCGTTACATTGTTAGACAGTTATTGTTAGTTAGTTAAATAATGAAATGACTTTTTTTTTAGATTGTTTGTTCTTAGGATTTACATCAGACATCATTGCTGTAGGCCTAATTAATTGCAATGTTATACTGTATAATTCTAGTTTTCCCTCTCACGTCTGCATCAGACCTCCTTCATAATGTTCATTATAAGATAATGGCATTTGTACATAAGGACTGTTTGACCATCAGTAGACATGCTCTGTTAGATTAATTTAATCTCTAAAGTATTGAAAGTGCTCTTGGCATCCAAGCGAATGTATTTTTGCTCAGTGTTCCCTGAATAATTACTTTAATCTTAGATTATTGGTGGCGACAGTGTTTCACGGTAAACTATTTGTAGACAGACCCATATTTTTGCAAATAAATTGGATTAAAATACTTTCTTATGCCTGACAACAATCATATTGTACAAGAAAAGAGCCAAATGACCATTAAACTATTTCGTGTCACATCTTAAAATATTGTTTATATAAATATTATAAAGGTTTTATATACACACTCACACACACACACACACACACACACACACACTCATATATATATATATATATATATATATATATATATATATATAGCCACATAAGGTTATTGAAATTATCTCCACATCCTAATAAAATCTAAGTCCAAGTCCTGATCTTGGATAAAAGGTATTACATAATCACATTATTAACATTAGTTACCAGGAAAATAAAGAAAGAAAGAAAAAAAAGAAAGAAAGAACGCATTACAATGTTACATTTTTTCAGCGCTATTTGTATTTACTTTGTTCCAGAAGGTTTATGTATATAATTTCAAGTCATTAATAAAATGTGAAAATTGAATAATTTATTGTTCTTTACTTTTCAAAATATAATTTTGAAATAAAAATGCACATCAAAAAACACAAATCTCTGTCATGCATCATTCCAGTTTTCTAATATCCAAAAATATCCTAATCCAAAATAATCTCAAGTAGATAAAACTGTGATAAAAACGGTTTCTGTTTCCTGTGCACAAAATTCACAGGTAAATGAAGTGTTGAGTTTTAAATCATTCACTGGATAAATCCTACATACAGCTGTCTTTTGTTGTGTACCAAAGATTAAAGTACATAAAATATCAACATTACGTTCAAAGAGGTAACTACATGCAAAGCACCATTTATACAGCTATATAACAATAAATAATACAAAACGAAAGCTTTAACAAAATAAATTAAACAATTTAACAGTTTTAAGAGCTTTAAGATTCTTGGAAGATGAGTTTGGATACTGCTGAACCTCTTTTTCTAAAAACAATAAACACACACACACACACACACACACACACACACACACACACACAATAAAA